GATATTAAAACGGACACCTCTTTACGACTGAGAACCAGCTACAAACTGTAACTAAATCATGCAAATCAACTGCAGAAACTAATGTTGTGAAGTAAAATTCCTACTATTTTGGTATTATTAGATCTCTACAGGTTGTCAATTTTGAAAGACATGTCGACAGAAATTAAGTTTATGAGACAACTTTGTTTGTTAAACCAATTGAGACCACGACTCCGATAGGATACCTTGTCTAGTTCAGTTGTGTGATATAAACAGGAAATTTATTTTACCTGTTCTATAAAGGGCATCCATTCCTACTTCCTACGTAGTTCTGTAGGGCAAGATAAGTGACTGAAGGAGCTCAAGCATTCTCTCTTGAGCAAGACTTAAGTTTTAGCTCTAGTTGCGCTTTGAAGAGTCGACCTAAGTAAGGAACTTGGTAGGGTAAGGAATCCTTCCCTTGACCTACCCTCTAAAGAAAGGGTCTTCGGAACATCTTAGCTGTTCAGTGCCTTCTGTTAGCACACAAACCTCTCGCAAAGCTTGTGATTAAGACAACTGGTACAAGATCAATAAACCCAGAGAGCTAAAGTGTCGGAATGTGCTTAATAATACTAAAAAGAGTTGCCAAAGTGCATGGACTCGGGCGACAGCCCATATCTTTTAAGGCTTTTCAATTAGAATTGTGCAAGCCATTTAATTTTACAATTGAAATTTCGGGCGGTTTCCCAAAACCCCTAGAGTTGGTCCCTTCCATTCTTTATTCAATTTAATTCTCTAACTCACTTAAGTCTAACATAAGGAACACTTATTGCCGGTCCCAATTTAAAAGGTGTCCGTTTCAGAGAAATCGAGTTGACTGCCGCCTCCCTGTTGATTTGCTCGGGAAGTCGTGGCTTCTAAAAAGTCCATATTACATGTTCGGATGTAGCGTAAACCATGCAGGAAAAACGTCCGAATAAAAATATAATTACTGCAATTTTAATCGCTATCAGTTTTAAAATCTTGTCAGGTTTGTTTCTTTATGTCATCGGTTTCACGATTTTTTTCTTTTACATGGTGATAGAGCAACCTCGTGACCCCGCCCCTCGAAGCAGATCTCGTGAGAAATTGAACTTTACCTCGAAAAAAAATGCGGCTGTGGCTAATTGCCAGCTAACGCCCGGCCAGATCAAATGCTCCACAAAAATTCTATCGAGCAGTAGAACTACGACAATCCGTTTGTTCTCATCGATGTAGAGACGCGACCCAGAGCAAGTCTGTCGTTATACCTATAATTCTTTTAAAGTTGGCTTTTGTGGGATGATTACTTTCGACTTCTGGTTGTCCAAGGGAGTAAGGTTTACATCCTGAGTCTACACAAAACGGCCAGTGATCGAGCCTTTATTGACTTTAGGCTGATCTCGATCAGATCATTATTTTTTATCTGGGCCATTGTCAGTTACTTAGCAATGCTCTTGAAGAGTACAATGGAAGTTCTTCTGAATTGCCCTTGGCCTTTTGATTTTGAAAGGTGAGTGTTGCGAAATTATTGATATATTTATCAAAGTTGTTATTAGGTCAAAACCAAACAAAACAAAAAAGAAAGACAAAGAAAAACAACAGCAACGTTCCCCCACCAAAAAGAATATTAAAGATCATACCGTTCCAATTACCTGTTCTACAGTTTTTCTCAAAACATTCCATCCGTTAATGTCTGCGGTGACGAATTCAACGTGGACCACGCTATCGTTTGTAAACGAGGCGGCTTCATCATCCAGCGCCACAACGAGCTTCGTGACCTTGAAGTGGAAATGTTTTAAAATGGTTTGCAGCCATGTCGAGGAAGAACCTGTTTTACAGGAGTTAACCGGAGTTGTGATCCCTACGAAGCCCCGGATGTCCGACTGGATATATACACCTGCAAGTTCTGGGAGAGGCAAACATCTTCATTGGGGTTACTGCCAAATTTGTTGTATCGCGCTGCGCATTTTGCAGACGTCGAAGGAATTCTGGGTTTTTCTGTTCCGTCAATCATCTTAGCAAACCTCTTAGGAAACACACGTTTATTTGTACGAGTACAAAAAGGTCAGGTTTTGTGATTTGTGATTGGTCGCTCTCTATCGGTCTGGTTTTTTCTGTGTTTCAAGGTTCGTTGCTTGTGATAGTCCTGGTTCGGGCAATAATCGGCTAGTTTGCTTCGACGATTTTTCTGATCTTTCTTATTCTTGTCACTTGCAAGAATAAAGCAATGTCTACCTCCTTCCCTTGACAAAAACTCCACTCACCATCGCGATTGCCTTCGCCATTCTCAGTTTTGGTTTTGCGGGCCACGCTGGGTGAGCGCGTTCAAACATCGATGGTGATTGCATTAAGTAATGATCCGGGTAAGGTGGATAGAAATTTCTTTTGTTATGCGGCAACGGTGCTTTCGCCAGATAGGAATGTTCTCATTCTTACACAGAGAATTCATAAACCTACATGAAGGCCTTTTACTCAATAAAATGCATTTACACTCCACTTTGAAAGGGTGTTTTTTGGTGTTAAAAGATTTTGACCAATCACAAGAGTTGAAAACAATAGCCAAGAAAAGTTTACAATTTTACATGTTCCCCACATAGGATTTCTTTGTTATTCAAACTGAGACCAGATTTTGTTATATGGAAGATGGTTGGAAAGTAAGGGTGAATATATGTACTGCTTTATGAAGTTTTGTTAACTTTCGCTGTTTAAGCCAGTCAGAAGTAAGTACAGACAATAGAAAAGTTGGCACCTTTTTTGCATTCCAACATCTTCGTTGCCGTTGTTGCTATCGTTTCTTAATGAAGTCCGCGAATGTGTTATGAAATTATCCTCTAAATCATGTGATCTTGACCCTCTTCCTGGCTATGTCACAAGAAACACTCTGAGCACACTGCTACCATTTAATACTTCACTGTAATCTGGCCAAATACTCTCTCAATCTACGCCCTCTCCTTAGGAAGCCTTCCCTGGATCATACGTAGTTTTCAAACTATCACCCTGTTTCAAATCTTACTTGTGCCACACAGTGGATATGCTGAAATAAAGTCATTATGATTATAACTGAGAAGTAGATTGCTAACCATCTGATCTCCTATATTAACAAAAACAATCTGAACGACACATTTCGGTCGACCTACAAACAGTATCACAGCACTGAAACGACTCTCATTCACGGCCATATTAACGTCCTTACAGCCAATCATAATCGTAGAAAGGTAATTATATTTTGCGGGAACTTCCTCTTTAAAAAAGCATTTTTATAAATTTTTAAACATTTTTATTTTTCATAACTTTTTAATATTTTTAATATTTTTTATCTTGTAATGCGCTTTTGCGGGAACTTTAAGGTTACTGGCGCTATATAAGTGCATTATTATTATTATTATTGTTATTATTATTATTATTATTATTATTAAACCCGCCCCCACTCAAATGATTGACGGAACAGAAAAACCCAAATCCCTTCGAAGAGTTTGCAAAACGCGCAGCGTGTTACAACGAATTTGGCAGTAAATACTTATTTACCCTCACCCATTATGGGGCTTCAGGAATAATGAAACAAATAATTCAAATGGAACATAACTAGGTTAAGAATCCCAGCCGACAGGAGGTGAACCAGTTGGCCATTCAGTACAAACATGGCCGAGGAACTACACAGGACTACCGAGAACAAATCCAGCTGGTGGTCAGGGCGGGGCCTCCTGATTACAAGTCCAGTGCTTTAACTCCTGGGCAACTGGGCTCTCTCTTCTCTCTTGATGTCTAGGTGTACCACCCAAATTCAGATTCTTTTTTAAGCCCTCAGCCATAAGCAGAACGAGTAAAAACAGCGAAACAATAACTTTGCACGTGCATCACGCGTTTTTGTACATTTCTTCGCCGTCGTTGCCCAACCACGAGTAAACTATCTAATTTCACGTTTTGTTAGAACGTGAACGCAAGACAACGATTTTCTAATTCCTGTTTTAAACGTATTACAGACAGTCCTTAAGAATTCAGCTCCAGAAAAATTGACCAACACTTGACAGGTTGAACAACACGGAATATTAAAAAGCTATGAATTTTGAAACGGCGTGAGGCTACGTTCACATGGCATCGCACGAATTTTCGAACGGCAGAAGAATTTGACGGGAAACTTTGCTCACACTGGACCGTTCAATATCACACTGTTCACACCGAACATTGAACGGCTAGGCGTCTAAATTTTCGTACGCTTAAGGTGGATCCGTGTGAACGGAAAACCTAAAATCACGAATTTTCAACAGGTGGAAAAATGGTCCGATGCCGTATTAACGTTGCCTGAGAGTGGTTTTCGCCACCGCCGTCTTCGTCGTAGCTCAAAATCCTCCCATAGACCATTTTACGTGTTTTTTTTCAGCTTTTGACATGGACAAGTTAGGGAAAATCCTTCAACACCACTGAAAAGAGTGTCTTATGATTAGTAAAATTGCCTAGTTTGAAAGTGATTTGTTGAAAACTAAGGAAGCACCATACAAACGTATGTAAATTTTCGTAACTTTTTTGTCCATGTTAAAAGTTGATAAAACCGTGAAAAGATGTGTTTATACCGTTTCAAGACATGTACATTATTTACTTATCATTTATTTAATGGAAAGCATTCAGTACTACGAAACTGTGCATAACGCTTAAGAGTAACGTCTTAAATGTGTATTGCAAACGTAATTCAAAAGCAAGAAAAAGGAAAGAAAAAGGATAAGAAAGAGAAAAAAATATGCAGTCCTCCCCGGCGGGGAATCGAACCCCGGTCTCCCGCGTGACAGGCGGGGATACTCACCACTATACTACCGAGGATGAGACGAAATGTTAGGACAAACTTTTGTTACTCAAAGGTCAAATCACATCCCGAACAAGCCGCTGGCAAAGAAAACCGCGTGTTCTCATCTATAAAAACACAACAAACGTTTCAAATCTCATGTCCACCTCATGACGGCTTATGCGTCTACAAACCGGGCAAATTTCGAATGTGTGGCTTTTTTCTTATAGCTAGCTGGTTTCGAAAACGTCTTGGATAGATCTTTTCCGTTTGGAAGTTTGCCTTCGTTGAGGTACTCACACCCCGAAACGTTTTGAGTTGATCGAAAATCGCCTAGAAGAAAGACCACTTTTGTTAAGCCTGAGTCTAAAATGGCCGTGGCCCGTGGCTTGTGCTTCTGTTAAGCTTAAAACTCAAGCTTATATTCCAGCCATTTTGTCACTTAAATGTCTTAAGTTTTCTCTCGACTGTATATGGATTCATGTCACACTTGGTACGTAGAAAACAAATGCCATATTAAGTAAGCAGACAGTTTATAAATTTCGCTTAGCTCCTCACATTTTTGTCAATGCTCAATGTCTAAAGTGCGTTCTTATATGTTTTTTTTTATTTTTAGTGTACTTGTGTTGACACGTCACATGTAGCCGTCGCACCAGCAGAACTTGTGGGCACACATTTAGATCAAGGAGAATCTGAGGTGCGTATGGAACAACATCTTATAAATATCATGCATGTGCACATATGCACCACTGTAGTTTTTTCAGTGCACGTTGTGATCCATAATATTCGTTTATCTGCAGCAAGGGCAGTCAGCAATGTCACAAGAGGTATTGAACAGTCACCAACCCAGAATTACATGCCTTCCAAATCCTGGGGATTACAGACTTCTAAACTTTATTGGTAAGAAGGAATTATTACAAAACGTAATTAATAACAATTATAATAATCATAATCATAATCATAACTGTAACAAAATTCTCAAATCTTATTTGCTATCACCTGCCCTGATTTCAACCTTAAGAGGACAGTTTAATAGGACAGTACGCATCTCATGCATGCTCTTAAATGGCTTTTTTTTCACTGCTGGCAAGAAAAATTTTGGAATTTCTTGTATTTAGATTAAAAAAGAGCCTTATATATCACAAATTTAGTTAAAGGTATGATTAATTGGTAACAGAACTTCGTGTCATCCAATTCAGTCTGTAATCATACTTGTTCAATTAAACAAATCGGACTCCTGCTATGCGCTACGCTACTGCAACAGACCGACTCCACTCAGTCCTGTTACCATTACTAATAGTAATAATAATAATAATAATAATAATAATAATAAGTAATGGTAACAGGACTGAGTGGAGTCCAATTCGGTCTGTAATCATACGAGTGATTAACAAATACGCGGTCGTCCGATTTGTTTAATCACGAGTATGATTACAGACCGAATTGGACTCCACTCAGTCCTGTTACCAATTAATCATAACTTTAACAAAATTTGTGATATAATAGGCTATTTTTAAATCAAAACACAAGAAATTCGAAATTTTGTTTTGCTAGCAGTGAAAAAAAAAGCCATTTAAGCGCGCGCGTGATGGCGCGTACTGTCCAATTACTTAGGCATGACGTGTACTGTCCTATCAAACTGTCCAATTAAGTCTGAAATCAGGGCAGTTGATAGCCAATCAGATTTGAGAATTTTGTTATAGTTATGATTATAATAATAATATGTGGAACCTCTCCTTTGGGACACTTCTATTCAAGGGAAACCTTCATTCAGGGGACACAAAATTTGGAGGTCCCAGAAAAAATGTTCACATAATCTTTGTACATGTATTTGTGACCTCTGTTGAAGGGACACCTCTCTTCAGGGGAAAGGACACTTTAGCTGGGTCCCGAAACCTACCTCATTTAGGGGACACCTCTATTTAAGGGACACTTGCCTTGGTCCTGAGGGTGTCCCCTGAATAGAGTTTCCACTGTATGCGCACAGTGTGCAAAAATATACAACCTGCTCGATCAAATTTCGAAAAGAAGAAGAAGACGAAGAAGAAGATGATGTTGATAATTAGGATGGTGATGATCTGTGTCACACAGAAATCTGTTGTCAATCATTATTACCTTTATTTATTTTTCAGGTCCTGGTTTTGGGGGCCTTTCTAAAGTGTTTGTAGCTCGTCACTCTCCTTCAAAAACATTAGTGGTTGTCAAGCAGACAAATGTTGACGTTAAAAATGCTGAGCAACTGGAAGAGTTAAAGGTTTGAGGCTATTTAATGAAATCCCTTGTCTTATAACTGCATAACTACATTGTCAATATTTAACAATTATTCCATGAGTGTGCATTGGATATGAGATGGTAGATCCCGTATCGCTGAGTTGGCTATAATCATCTCGTATCCAACAAGAGCAAGTCGAATAATTGTTTTATTGAAAACGCCCACAAAATATTGAGAATTCTTCCCAACTTTATTTGCAAAAACAACCGATTTTCTGCTTGTTTTTAATTTTGAGCTGGTGCGTACAGTTATCATATTTGGAGAGCATGGTATAATGGCTCATGTACCATGAGGGCTAAGCCAGTCAGAGCTCTAGAATTGCATTATCCAATTATTCAGTTTTTAATGATACAGTAGTACATGTAGGCTAACTCTCCTGAGTTATCTAGGAGTCTCCCGCATAAAGCACCAATCTCCTGCTCTCCAGTAAGGGTCACCAAATCTCCCGGACAAAATCGACTTTTGAGTATTTCTGTGCTTAAGTTTGAAATTTAGCCCATTTCCCCCATATCTTGGGGGTATTTTTGCACGTATTTAGTCATGGACAAAGACTATTTCGTCATTACAATGATGAATACAAATTTTGATAGTATGTACTTCATGTAAAACTTCATATCATGTCCTAAGCCATTCCCTAGACTGTCTTAATTTGGGGTCTGGGTTGATTTGTGGGGTAGGGTTGGGGGGGTTGGGGTGGGGGTTTCTTGACATTCAGGAGGGGGGGGGGTAGTGCAAGAGATAGTGTCTCCAGATTTTAGATCTCCAGTGGTTGGCATAATACCCCCCCCCTTCCTTGACCTCTAAAATTAGATACACGTAAATGCTGTGGGTGTGCCTATTATAATTAGCAAGCTGAATCCTACTACACTTCACCTTGTTTAATGCTTTTTCAATTGCAGTATGAAGTCCAAGTGTTACGATCTCTCAGCCACCCAAATATTCTGCCATTTTACTGCTCATTTGTTACCCAGCAGGAGGTCTGGCATGTTCTTCCACTCATGCAGTTTGGTATGTGCTTACCCTATGATTATACATGTACTTTTTCAGACCCATTCAAGACTGTGCCTCAAGGAAAATTGAAGGGTCCCCCCAGGCTCTGAGCCTGTCTTGATCCAGGTTGACATTTATGGAAAAGCTAAGATTTCCTAGTCACCTGAGAGCAAATGTAGAGTGCTGAGGGCCACCATGCTTTGCTAGAGCACAGCCCTGCCATTTTGCTAACAGAGTCAGTTATGTGCTGGCCTCCCTTGCCGATGATCTCAGGGTTTTGTCACGTGTTCCTTCCCCACAAGACAAGCCAGTACATTTCTGTGGGATGATAGTTCTGAGCACATGTCCATAATTGATTGGACACACATTCCAAAAAATATGGACACGAAAAATGAAGAGCTAACGTTTGAGTCTGTGGGTAAAATCATGCAAAGTGATCATTAAAATGAAACTGCTCAGTGTTTGTAAAAGTGCAATACAACAGGTTAAAATAAACATTGATGGAGGGGCTATACAAATGTTGCTGGGGAGGTGGGTGAGTAGTGGTTGGGGGGAAGGGAGGTCTAAAGGGACCCCTACTCAATTTGTGGAACCTTGGATCCTGTCTTAATCATTTAACATAAATTTTCCTCTGCTAAGTTTTGCTTACTAGTGTTCTATGCAGAATGATGTATTACCACTCAATAAATGCAAAGATTTTGTCGTTGATTTTTACATAGGGTCCTGTGCTGATATGCTAAAAAGCTGCTATCCAGATGGAATGACTGAAATTCTTGTTGCAGCAATTCTTTGGGAGCTGCTACAAGGTCTGGAATACCTTCACAAGATGGGAATAATTCACAGGTAGATCAGCTTGCATATTCTCCACACTGTACTCTATACATTTCTTGTGGCACTCATAAGGAGAGCTTGATTAACAATCAATCGATACTGTGCAACCCGCTTAATATGAACACTGATGGGGCTTGCCATAGTGTCCGAATTATGAGCTGGGTGTCCGTATTAAGCAGTTTAATTTTAGAGAAAAATATGACCTTTTTTTCTTTGGGGCAAACAAAACTGCCTGTTATATACGTACGGGTGTCCGTATAAGTGGGTGTCCATAGAGTGGGGTTCCACTATACCTTTTCTACTTGGTGATCATTTGCTGTATTCTCATGACCTTTATGTTTAATTGAGTAGTGTAATGATAAGGAGAATTTAAATGTTGGTCACTCTTAAGGGTTAAAGAGTAAAGTAGCCCGTGACTACTGCCACCTCTCCTCACTTCCAGATGCTAGGGGTGTGTCTTACATTTTATGGGAGGCAGTGTGGTTGAGTTGCCAGCTTGTCAGACTCACAATCCGGTGATCCTGAGTTCGAGTCCCACTCTGGCCACTTGCTACATTTGCTTTCAGTCACCTTGGCGTGCAAAGAAAGTAGTGTCCAATAGCTTGGGGCTTGTGGATTTTGCTATCAGGCTAGGAAATTCAAATTACAGAAGAATTGTAATCAATCCTGCTAATCCAAAAGAATTTTGGGGCTAGTTGAAATGACTTGTGAGCTAGTACGTGCTAGCGACAGCTTGCCCGAATGGCGGGCTTTAAAACTGACTTTCTTTGCACCTTGCACCTGAGAGTAGCCAACTGGTTATACCCTGCCAGTTACGGTTTTTAATCCTGATTTATTCTGTTTGGATTACCCCGGTAATTGTTTCAATTATTATTTGGGTGGAGATGAGTGCCTGCAAACTAAATTAGCGGGATAAGCTAAGTGCACTTTAAGCTTAAAGAAAACCTTTAAACTTTTTTTGTAAATTTTAGGCTTAAGCCCAAAGGGGGGGGTGCATAAAAGCCTGCGTTGCATCCTTCCTACCCACTGTCCAACCACTAATAATTATAGTCTCTACTGGTGGTGTAGAGTCTGTGATGCAGGAAGGGCTTTTATTCAAAAGAGGGCTTAATTCTAGCATTAACAGGATGTAATTTTCTCACAGGGCTGTTAAAGGAAGCCATATTTTGGTCGGTTCAGACGGTATGGTGTGTTTGTCAGGATTAAGAAAGTCAATCATGTTGCCTCAAAAACGTGACAAACCTCAGATTGCTCATCAATTTCCGTCACATGCTGTTGCTGTGTTGCCATGGATGGCGCCGGAGATTTTACAACAAGTACGTGCTCAGAGAGAGAGTAAGCCCACCTTTAAAACCATTAAAACCCATGACGTTGGTGGAATACACGAGTCACTAGTATTGCCATAGTCACTCAGGGGAAAACTGCATATTTTTCAAGGTCGGGGAAAGGTTGCGTTGCTTGAAATTTTGAGTCAGTAGTGTTGCCATAGTCACGGGAAAGGTAGCCTGTGAGCATGCTCTCTTCTTGGCGGAGTCGCGAGAGTTCACGCGAATGTGCAGGCAAAAACCGATATCGCACTCATCACGATATCGATTTTCGCGTGTAATTTAACGCGGAATTCCCTTGTCAGGTAATGAATTTTCCTATAATGTTTTAACTTTTAAATATGCATGTTGTATAACACGTAGAGATAGTATTTTATTACATAAATGACTTTTAAATAGGCATGTTTTTACTGTATTTTGCATTTTATTATTTTTTTAACTTAATTAGTTTCTTTTATTTGTCCCGCGTTGTCACTGAAAAGCCGCACAAGGGGAGTGTCAATAAACTATTGTGTTGTATTGTATTGTGGCATCGCGAAATTTCGGCCTTTTTCTCAGGTTACGCCAGCGCACCCTTTGAGACCGCAGCAAAATCACCGGTTGTATTTCCCATGTGCCTGTAGGATCTTCAAGGATATGATTTCAAGTCAGATATCTACAGTGTCGGCATAACAGCTATACAGTTGGGAAGAGGCACTGTGCCATACGTGGGAATGCCACCCACCAAGGTAACTCGATTGGTTTACGGTCATCTCGCCACCAAGAAGCCGACTCGCCACCAATGAATAACTATGAAATAGTTGACACAGTTTAATACCTAGGACCTAAGATTTGCACTTTTTCGTCCAGTTCATTCGAATTTAAAGTCGACCCAAAAACAAATCTATCGATCCTAATTGACGATCCTTGCGTCGAACGTCTTATACTCTTGGTAATGCAAATACTAATAATACATTTACAGGTTCTGTGAATGTAAACTTTGACATTTGAGAGAATAAAAAACTGGCAGAAACGTTTCACAACCACCAGTCATTTCTTTGAAATATAAAAATAACGTAACGGTTGAGAAATTTCCGTTCGTGAAGGTTTCAAACAATGTTAAGCTAAGTTCTTTTCTTGCTGGCGATTTTGTTGGTGGCGAAATGGTTTGTTGGCGAAATGACCAGATACCACTCGGCAGGACCTCTTTCTTAAATTTTATTTTTAGGTCATTAAATGGATAGGAGGTATCATGCGGTCTATTAACCCACTTTTAGATCGGATGAAGAGGCCCACGCCCCGAAGCATCCCGTCTCGCTTGTGCGAGAAAAAACCTCTGGTACCCAGACAGAATATAGTCAATCCTGTATTAGGTGTATTAAGCGGAAAAAAGTAACCGACTGTTCTGGGCAAAGTAGTCGACGCGTTCCGTCGGTCGTCGGTGCTTATTGAAACCCCTGCGGTCACTGACTGAATCTAAACTTTTGACAGGTATTACTGGAGAAGCTTAGAGGCGACACCCCAAAGCTTTGCGACTCCTTAGTCATGAATGATGTGGATACATCAGCTCCTGGTGCCTCAGATTCCGGAGTGGGTAGCTCCGTCACTTCCCCGGGGGAGGGAAGAAACGGTGGTCAGCCTACTCCTCAGGGGAAATTCTCCGTGGCGTTCCAACAGGTACGTGAGAGGATTTCACGAGGGTCTTGTGCTTTTTCAATTACATAGTACTTTACATATATCATCACTCTGAACGGATACGGTTCTAACTCTATTCCGAAAAAGACCATAAGCTTCATATCATATTTATCTCAGAAACTGTTTAAAAGATTGAGCTCTCTACCGGTGGAAGGTAGCAGTCTGCGTTTAAATTATCGTTTCTGGGGCCCTACATCGCGATTTTCGAGATACGGCTCAAACCTTTACTATCAAACAACTGTTGTAACGTAAGGAAGCTCGCGTGATCCCGTAACTTCCAGGACGCGAGTGTACCTAAATATAACTTCGAAAAGAAACTGGCTTCTTGCAGGTATGGAGATGTTGTTTGCGTTCCGTATGCTCATATTTTGCTAACAAGATCCCATCGTGTTGTAGGTTGTTGACTTATGTTTGCAGAGGGATCCTCGCTTAAGGTACATCGCTATTTCATTCCACTTACGTCTGTCCTCATTTTGCTAAACCCTTTAGCCTCAAAGAATGAAATATTTCTTGAAATTTTTGGAAATTCAAGGAAACTAAGATCTTTTTAAAAAATCAAAGGGAAAAGTCACAGGTTAAGCTCTTGTTTGTTTTCCGGAATTTATTTAGGGCGGACTTAAAGGATTTTCAAGTCTCCAAGAACTCTTTTTTGTCTCATCCACTTTCTTAATCCGAACTAAACTTGCAAACACTCTCAAAACCGCGCGCCAAAACAAAGAAATTAAGTTTCGCGTGACGTCATCCATGTGTCTATACTCTTAAAGAGCATGGGTAACGACCAATCACAGCGCGCCTATTATTCACCACATTGTATAAATTCTTATCGACCATAGCTGTCGACCAATCAGCGCGCGAGGAGTTGCTCTGTTATTGTTAAGTATAGTTTGGAACAACGGGCAATAAAATTTAAACCAAGGATCAAATTTAACTGGAACACATCAAACAACATTGGATCAATTTGGGTGAACATTTTGGGTCCGTTAGAACATCGGCTTGTAGCACTAAAGTAAGTGATGTGTTCACTGTATTTTCAGACCGACAGCCAGTGGCTTGGCTTCTCATTTGTTTTTCAAACAGGTAAAGTTGTAAAGTAATTAAAAAGTAAGCCTTGTACTCAAACCAAATTTGTACCGTATTTACTCTACTCAACGCCGCCCTCAAATAAAGGCCCATTGCGGGCAGAACTCGGTAATCTACACTACCCCGACAATTGCGAGTCTTCCTCAGCCAAAAAAAAGAGAGACTCTAGAACTTTTACATCTTTCCGTCTTACATAATATTTACAAATTATTTATCGTAAAAAAAATAACAAAAAAATAATAATAGAGGCCGCGGCATTTAATGTGAACTTTGCCCCCTGCTGTTTGTTTTAAGGTAAAGAGGAAAGCAAGAGAGGTTTTAGCCGAACTTATGTTGGCCGTCCCGTCATTAGCGAACCGCAGCGAAGATAAACGAATCGGTATGTATATGCACCCTTAACACCTATATATCAAAAAGCAGTATTTTAATAATTCAGGAACAGTTCAATAGGCCATTATTGGAAAGAATCTTTTTAAAGGTGAACTGCAGTGCTTATCCTTTTATGGAAATAAGTTTTTAATCTTACGCAAATTTAGTAGTTTATGTTCATATGAGTGGCTGGGCGAACTAGCCTCGCTTACACAAAGAGGCTTAATTTTGCATGTTGCTAATTGATAACTCCAGACATGGCAGGCCAGCGGTCTCACATAGAGATAAGCGGGGGCACCCTAATTGCTTCGCAGGGTTTCACTTGTATTTGCAGCCTTTCCATGAAATTTAGGCTGAGTTAAATTCGAGACATGGCTGTCCAGCGGTCTCACATAGAGATAAGCGGGCAAGCCCCAAATGCTTCGCAGGGGTTCTTGTGTTTTTACAGCCTTTCCATGTGGCTAAATGATTTTAGGCCATGTTAAACTCGAGACATGTCTAGCCAGCGGTTTCACGTAAAGATATGCGGGGGCGCCCTAATTGCTTCGACGGGGTTTCATGTTGATTACGTTCGCTTTTCGTTGTCTGTAGTGGCTCGTGCTTTCTAAGTGTCTGTGTGTTCTGCTTCCTACCTAACTTACTTTACCGTAAGACTCCAATCATATAGTTACTGTTAGTAAAGGCTCCCTCTACTAAGCAATCTGCAATGCAAAATTTTCTGTAGATAAACTAGTAATCGTTTTATTGCAGACCAAGACATTGCCAGCTCAATAGCAAGTGAAGGGTTATCAGCCATGAATTTAGATGAGTGGTCATTCTGAATTCTGACTGGCTCCACCTGGGACATTCTTAACCCCAATTCGAGAGGAAACTGGAAACTGAGTCCCAGATCACCATGTTCCGAGTTCACGGTTATTCCAGGACGAGGGGAACTAGGAACTCATTACCAGAGCAAACAATAATTTTGCCGTTTGAATCAACATGCAGTGGTCTGCAATTTTACTTACCTTGTAATAAGCTTCACACTTGACGAGATTGGTCTTTTTACAGATGGACGTCAATAATTATGAATGTACATATGTAAAATACCCTTTACCAAACGGGCGTGTTGTTAGCCTTTGGGAATTCAGGGAAGGGTGTAACATCTCAAAAGGCTTTAGCACGGTCTGTCCGCAACAGGTTCTGCGCACACGGTGCGGGCTTCAAGTTCATAAATGCTGGACAATTTAACTAAAGTTCAAAAACACAAATGTACTTTAAATGTTGTAAAATAGCCATGTATTATATTGTAAAGCTTCTTTTGACAATTCAATTATCTCTGCTTATTATGTGGAAAAAATGAGAGGGCTAACACTCCTTGCCGAGATCCACGTTTGTGAACCGGGCAAAGTACGGGAACCTTTGCGCACCGCTTGCAACGATAGCCTACGTGTAGCCGCACCCTCCCCCCGACAAAGGAAAAACGTTTTCCTTTGTCGGGAGAAGGGTGCGGCTACACATAGGCTATTGCATCAAGGGCTGTGATTGGTTTCACAAAACAATGGATAAAGGACCCTAATAATGTACCTAACCCAAATCACATTAGGAAGTGCAGGTTTTAGGGACAACTAAATGTAGAGGTCTCAAAGAGGTACGGGCCACTTGAAATATGCCTTCGTGTGCACATCTTTTGGACATCACTCGAGCCTCTGCCAATGTAACGGCAACTTTTCTTTGACCACCAGACAGTTCATACCTTCATTCTAACTCTCTGTTTTAAATCTGACTACAACGGCCACTGACGTACTCCCCAGTTGCCGTTTTTTTGGCTGTTACTGTGTGACCCTTGTCACTCCTTTTATAAGCCGAAGGAAAGCCAAAAACCCACTAAATAGATGACTTCACACCAAAAAACAGAGGAATACATCAAAGGCAAGTCTCCGTTATTTTAATGTCTTATAGAAAAAAAGGTAAAACTGATATTTAGCGTTCGCAGACCTCAGTATTTTACAGTTGAACCTATCCACAACGGCCACCTTGGGGACAGAACAAAGAGGTCTTTGTAGAGACGTTGAAACAAGAGTGAATGTATGGACTGTCAGCCAAAAAAGTGGCCGCTGTAGAGAGGTGGCCGTTAGTGGAGGTTTGACCCCAACGCTGAACGGTCGCCTGTAACGCGACACCGACTCTCTTGTGAGCAAGTAAATTTACATTCCACACTCGTAACCTGAGGTTGGGAGGCCTGTGGTGCGAGAGGTTCAGAGTTCGATTCCCGAGTGACCTCAAATCTTCGTTTCGACTTCTTTCCTTTCCGTGTAGCTTGAAGTAGCTTAAGTACCTGTAAAATCGAACCGTGGTGAAGAGAGGGGATAAAATAACCGCACCGTTGGCCTAGGTTAGCTCAGTTAGAAGAGCACTAGTCTGCCGAGCGGGGGGACGCGGGTTCAAACCCCAGCCGGACCACCAACCACGGTATAAAATCTTGTAGGAACTTGTTGCCGTTGGCATTGTCTCCTTCATAGGCTTCCTTCATTGGTGATACAAGCGAAGGAAACGTAAAAGAACCCACACTGACACTGTTCGAAAAGAGTAGTGGGGAAGTGTTTACACAAGTCATTCCTAACAAATTAAAAAGAAGGCGAATTAACAAATCAGCACACTCGAACAATAGAAAACTTCCAAGCTTTTATTTGTGTTCAAAATCCTGATTTTTCGACATAACACAACTATCTTAAATAGCACAAAGTAATAAATAAACTAGGAATAAGCTCTTCAAGAGCTTTTCACAAAATTTTCCAACCCTTTAAGCGGTTTTCGTTCTCTGTTAGTTTAAATAACTTTACCCTTCAGATTCAGTCTTGAAACCAAATTGTTGTGATTAAAGTGTTCTCTGTTACGTTTGGCTCGAATGTTGTAGTTTTACACCTGTTCTGGGCTTTTCATGAAAAGCCGAAGTATCACCATCGCAAATGATAATCTTCAGTGGTGCTCTTTGCTGTAGTTTACAAGGTTGTCTGTGAATGAAATCTTAAAGTGTGACCATTCAGGTGAAAGCTACTTCGCAGTACTTCTCTGTGGCTCTGTTTACTGTGTTGTTCAATGTGGTTCTAAGCTTTTGGATCAGAATATTTTGTATGGTTGGGTGGGGTGTACAAGGTGGTTTTGACCCTAAAGTTCTTTGGATGGAATCTGCACAGAGGACATCTCTATAGCAAGATGCCTACTTTTATACTTCTTATTGAAAATATAAAAAAGCTCTTTCCCTGGAAAATATGATACAAAAGGAACAAAGCATGAAAATAAAAGCCTTGTCTTTTTAACTACGAACGTTGTTTTCAAAGACATTTTGCTGACCTACTGTATAATTAAATTACCAACTGGCGGCCATAAACAGATCTGGGAGAATTCTAACTGGATGAGGGGTCGTTTTTACCTGTCATATTGAAAATATAACTTATCTGATTTGCAATCCCTTTTTTTCTTTTAATTAAGTGTGCTATATTCAAGCAAAATTTATAACTTAGTTTAAAATAAATAATCTGTTCCTTTGCTTCTCTTATTCAATTGGTACGTGAGTGTCTATCAAACGTTCTTTCTTTATGCTTGGAAAAAATATATATTTATAAATCTAGCAGAATTCTTCATCTTAGTACTGGTTTAACCAGACATGATCGGGAAATAGCCGCATAATTTATCTTCCCTGTTGACAATAGTAATAAAGTAATTTTAAGAAACACGAAACAACGTCTTACGTACATGTTTCGGCACAGCTAGTCTCAAAGAACTGACTGAGGCTTACCCTTACGTACAGTCTACGTCACCTACCGTTTATTAAGAATAGAGAGAAACGTTCTTGATTATATTGGCCACTTGCACATCTCCCATAATGCACCTTATTTGCACCCCCCCCCCTCCCCTCAAATTGTACTTAAGCATTGTTTTCAATGTCCCTTGAGACGGCTGTAATACCCAGGAGAAATGAAAAACAAAGTTATGCAAATTTTTTTTTTTTGGGGGGGGGCGAATGAGGTGCATTATGGGAGATGTGCAAGTGGCGAACAGGCGATTCCAATGACAGAAAAACAGTAAGGTTGACCAGCTTAACATAACTTAGCTTCAATCAACGCTTTAGTTTTTTTTTTTTGCGTTTACAAATAATACGGACTGAGGACATCAGACGTAATTAAATCACCGAGGCCATTTGCCCTGACACGCTAATACCCAGGTTTATTACCTTCAAGATTTTAACTCAATTAAACGGCTTTTGTATGGTTCCAGTCAGCGTAAAATTCTCAGCGGTTTTCCCATGCAAATGACTTCCATTTCTTTTCTTTGCGACGGCATTATACTTTTTAATTTTGCAGAAAACAATCTCTGTGGTTTCCATTCAAATTAACGAAAGAGCTCTCCTTTTCCACAACATCGCCGGTTTGGGTCGAGAAGTTAAACCAGTTCACACATTCGATGAATTCTTCTGGACTCGTCATTATGTCGCTTTAAAAATAACCCTACAGCCCATTCTTGATAATTTCCCCCGCCAAGGGTGAATAGTCGCGTTGCCATGGAGAGAATATTTATTTCCACAATTGCAATGGCTCCGTTGTCGTAAAGTATCCCTGTTGGGTCAAATGTATCTGGGTTGTTAAGAAGCTTGTGTAAAAAGAGGGATAAAGATTGACGATCGTTCGCCCCTGCAATGTCCCTGAGTGTGTCTGAGCCGTAATCAGTCAAATCCGAAGCTAAATAAACTTGACGAGCATGAATCGCTTCCCGCGACTCTTGAACCCGAGCAGCCAGTTTTTCGAAACATCGCCTTGTTATGTTGGCGCCTTTTCGTTGCACGTGTCTCTCCGAACGCACTTGAACACCTATAAATTTTCCCTTGAATGTGTTTTTGACAAAATTTCTGGCAATTCTCACAAGATTTGCGTTAAATTCCAGATCAGACGGTTGAAGTGGATTGGCGATGGCTGGGTGAAGTGGAAAATGCGTGCGTTCATCACCAGTTCCTCTCCACTGAACGATCCCAACGCAGGTTGCTCCTTGGAGAACCTTGTCCTCGAGCTCTTGGCCAGACCTTATGACTTCCGGGTCCACACACACATACCGGCTTATTTTAAAACCGATCTGTTTACTAAGTCGAGATCGCTTTATCCAAGGGCAATCAATCCAGCCATTGTGTTCCTTCGCTTGTTTGTACATAGCTTTCACCTCCGCATCACTAGCTCTGTACCACGACGCCGTATTTTTCATGAAATCTTCCTTGTCGAACAAGAAGTGAACAACGACTTGAAATCTGTTCGAACAGTGATGCTCGAGGTCATGAAAACGCTTAAAAGTACTGTAACCATGAGATTCTAACTTGAAATTAAAGTCTTGCACGTCGAAATATGTATCCAGTGGAGCGTAGTTTTTTACTTTTTCAACCTTTCGGTAGTAGTGACTCACTCCTCCTGGCAGCCCTGACATACGTGAGTTATTCACAAACGGAACAACAATTGCGCGATTCTTAAATTTAGCTAGCGAAGCCAGCGCTAGAATGTTGGCAGTGGCTCGGCCTAACTGTTCATAATAGCGAAAAACATACAAAAATCTTGGCTTAGGTCCCTGCATGTTGTCCTCGCCGTTATTTTCACTTTCAATGTCCGGTAGCTGATTGCGGGACTCATTACTGTCAGAAATTTCGCTGGCGTCTGCATCTCTCTCTTGCTCGTAACCACGCCAGACGTGCTTTTCGACGTTTGTCCGAGGAAGATAACGCAAGTTTACGGTAGAAAGTTCGAGCTTTTCTCTTTCGACGAAGCTAGCAGGAACGTCGAGGACGCCATTTTCACGGAAAAGTAGAGCAATGAAGCTAACAACGATGTACAAGGCGATGGAAAAAAAGAATATAAATAAACATTTCGTCCTTGTTCTAGCCATTAGGAATCTGGAGATAACATATCTCTTCGTCAAAGCCATGAATATTGAAGATTTTGTCGGACACGATCCTCGAAATACAGCATTTGTCGCTGAACAACAAGACCGGCTGAGAACACGAAAGGACTTTCAGGACACGCTATGGATTCCACGCTATGCTAATACGAAGCCGGGACCCAGACAAAGTAAGCCGTCATCTGCATGTACTAATCGAGAAGGCCAAGACGAACACACCGAGACACTGCATGCCTCTAACAGGGGGTGGAAAAACCAAGTTTAGTTGTCGCTCCATCAAAACTGCTGACCCGAACCTCGACGAGATACGACTCGCTTGCTAGATCTAGAACGAAACCAAAGTATTCCTTTCGAGCAGCAATATCGACAGGTTGTGACGCGATAATAGGCAAATTTAACTTGAAAGGGTCTATTTTTGTTGGCACATCTTCGTTTGGCCCTTTGCTCGATGTACAGTCCTATATCAATGATTTCTGCGGGGGATTTTGTGTCTTCCAGCTGTCAATATATTGATGCCCCAACATGTAGATTAACATGTCGTTGTTCGACTGTTATTCAAAACTCACGTGCTGAGCCGGGGTGAGCGCGTCACGCTCAATGAGTGTCCTTCGTTGTTTTTTTAAGGTTCTGACTCGACAAAAATTAAATCTAAACGCTGCGATGGTGTATTTCTTAAATATTATCACAAGAAATCTTAAATTTATCTCAATGAATATTTCTAGGTCACCCAGATTACCATTGGTTATGTAAACAAGCTTGTTCGATTCAAATACGCCTAGTTTGCATAATAATTCCCCGCCGGAAAAATAATGGTCCTTTTCTTTCAGTAGCGGCTAAATCACAATTTAACAACTTTGCCTTTCAAAAAAATTATACACTGCAATAGAGAAATAAACTTTTACGACTAAGACACCCATTTATAAATTTAAATTAGCCGAAATACCGCCGAAGGCAGAACACACGGTTCAATAAAAGTGGTCGACTGTCAACACAAAATTACAAGAAATTGTAGCGATGACACTTTTAACGCCTTGTAAGTGGTTAATAGAGCGATAAATCATTATTCACAGCAAATCGCTTTTCATTTTCAAAATCACAATTTCAGAAGCAATGGGCTTAAGCAGATTATTTTACGAGAATGCATATTTTAAAAGAGTGGAAGCATGCGCGTCTTTCCCACTGATATTCAGAACCCATCGCTGTTGGAATTTTATTCATGTGCGAAGACTTCCTGGTGATCTTGAATCTTACATGCAGAGATCACTGTCATCGTACAGATAAAATATCTGTAATGACTGAATATTTTGCCCACCAACAGATTTTTATCAAGTGGTTAACAGTAGGCATCCTACTTTCTCCTAAGGAGCTCTGAAAACTAAACGTGTTCCCCTAAGCTCTGAAAAGGTCTCGCAAATTTTTTGCCCCTTATCTGACTTCAAAACTCTCAGATTATCTATTTTAGTTATTTCCGTATAATTATTCATCATTCCAAAACGGCTGGGAATTTAAAAAAAAAGAGAATCAGTCTTTTTGCAAATTCACATAATATTTCTACCTCTTCTAATATAAACAAAACGAACGAAAAACGAAAAACAATTAGCCTATTTTAGTGGTCCGCAATAGCACTTTATTGAAAAGACGAGATTTCACCGTAATATGATTGTTAGATATGAGTGGCAATGAAATAATTTGTAGCAAATTAACATATGAAATAGACATACCACATCAACAAAGGGGCTGAAAGCAATTAGCCCATGTCAAATTAAATACTCTGAGCGATCGATGTTAAACAGCGACGGTTTAAATAAGCTTTCTTTCTGGCGATACGTTGCCGCCTAACGTTTTTCACCAGATTTCATTTCGCTTGATACGACGACGGGAAAGAAATGAAAAAATGCAGCTTCAATATCCTCCATAGTTATATATGACGTCCACACCGCAATCATCAAGGAAACAATTATCATAGACAATAAGCCTCATGAAAAGTTTGTTGAGAGCGAAGCCCTAATGACTCATTGAACAATAATAAACATTGCTCATAAATCAGTTTGCACAGTCAAAGAGGTTTCCACGCCAAAAGAACATTGTTGAATTGAAATGTGTTGAAACACTTCCAAACGTTGCATTGCGGACATTTTTGCGGTATAAATAACTCAATCGAACTTATAAGTAGTGGCACTTCATATCTCCTTCTTAATCCATAAACGCGCAGTCACCGAATTCCTTGTTTCTTTTCCGTCTTAGGAAGTGGAAATATTCATGCTCTTTTGACCTCTTGTCTGAGAAAGATGGCTAATGCCCCATTCAACATAACATGTTCAGAAGGCGGGGTGGGGGGGGGGGGGGACACGGGAATAGGAGAAATGGAAAGGAAAAAGGGAGATGAGTGTTTTAAAAGGGTGGGAAAAGAGAGAAATAGGGGAAAACTACGCAACAATGCTTACAATCGAAAAACGGCTAAAGGGAGGAAGCCAAGAAAAAGGGGAGCCGGAACCGAGAGTGCAAGGTACGGGAAGCGGGAGGTTTGGACCCCGTGAAAAGGGCTCAGAATAAAAACTTGAATTCCAGTTTGTCCTTTAGGCAAGCAGCTCTAACATTTTGCTACCCGGGGCCACTTCTTGCTTGACTTAGTTAATGATTTAGTCAGAAGATGACTTGCTTAGACCCTTGCCCATTAGGCACGTGAGCTTTAAAAGTCTGTTTCCCCCTCTCCTGTACACTTTTGATAGTGGCCAAGGAAACAATTCACAAAAAATATTCACATTTCTTTCTCCAAAGTCTTCTTTTGCCCGGAAAACGTTGTTTATTCGTGAAACCTACCACTCAAATGCGCCTTTATGAATACTCTTTGAACAAGAATGAACGAACGGGCGCTACAGAAATATTTACAAACTTCTTTGACAATCGCATAAATGAGACCCTGCCAACTACAAAAAAAGAAAACAAAAACGGCCCATCCGCAGAATTTAAAACTCCCGCAACAATTTTCTGCCACACGCTTAGTTCATTCATCAATAACCAACACTTTTCAGTGGCAACTTGCTTTCGCGGAGTCTTGCTATGCACTGTTTTGGAAAGAATGTCACTGTTTTACACGAGATACTTAGAAAATAATCGGACCTTCTGCATACATGTAACATTTTTTTGGAGATATTTGATCGATAAACTCCGGAAAAATCTTCTAAACTGTCTACTACCATTTTTCCAGATATTCGTTGCTCTATTAAAGAGATGTTCTAGAAAGAAATTCGTATCGAACACGAGTGTCCACATCATACAGCTATTTCCATTAGCAGTATTGTATTTTACTCCTTTATTTAAATGAACTAATTCTGTCTTCAAGTACAGTTGAACCCGTCAACATAAAACAACGGCCACCTTGGAAACAAATAAAGTGGCCGCTGTAAAGAGGTTTAAACAAGAGTCAATATATGGAATGTCCGCCGAAAAAGTGGCCTTTGTAGAGAGGTGGCCGTTATAAGACGTTCGAATGTATTCAGTTTTATCTACATCTTAATATTTCTATATCTCGTGTGTATTTTCAGTCTTACTCTTCTAATTAAGTTTTCTCAAGCAAGTATATGGATGGCTAGATTAAACATATTCATAGACAACCTTCCAGTCTGTCTAGAGGATATTTTCAGATACTTTCCTATGGATTTTAATATTTCTAATATTTCTATTTTCTATGTTATCTTTTAATTAAGCGTTTTTGAGCGCTTACTGGTAGTGAAGCTAATACACCACACACTGATGGATAGACAGCCAAGAAGCCTGTCTACCAGATAGGTCCTCAAATATTTTCAAGCCTATTTGACTCGATTCAAGCACATACAGATAGCAAAGCTATTTTTGAACATATTTTAGTCAGCCTACCACAAATCAACTCCAAAGCAAAGTCCAACAGTTCAATGAAACTTCAGTGGGTCTGCCATTAGCTAGTGTCCCTCAACCTCTCATACGAAAAGGCCACATTAAGAACAGTGGCTTCATCAAACGTTCTCCCCACAATCATCATTCCCACAGGCAAACCATCGCTGAATCCTGCGTTGATTGTAAGAGCTGGGTGCCCTGTCACGTTAAATGGACCAGTGTTCTCGCAGAAATTAAAAGCGTTTCCTAAGTATGGAATATAATCAAAATCAGTACATGCTGTCAATTCTCTATTAATGGACACCTCGAGTCCCTCTCCTTTTCTTTGACTCTCTATAAGTAACAGAAAACCTAGAGTTGGTCCCTTCCATTCTTCAGTCATTTCCTTTTATATGACTTTCTTCAAAGTGGACATCTCTCTCTACGCCGAACACCTAGGGCCAGTTATTTAAACGGAGTTTAGCCAGTGTTTAACAAAACTGTGTTCTAAGCAATTTTCAGTTCGCCGAACGCTTTTATGTAAACGCCATGTTTCGTGAACAGTTCATGAAAGCATATGGCGTAGACTTGAAAAGCATTTGTCCTTTTAAAATTACCCAGTAAGGAAGAGTTCTGGAGGTCCAAAGATTTCCTAAACCGCAGTCTAAGTTGGACTTCGTTTAAATAACCGACCCCTAGAGTTGGACCCTGCCGTTCTTCAGTCATTTTCTTTGAATTCGCTCTACAAAGCACCTCTCCTAGAGGGACACTCAGTGCTTGTCTGGACGGTGTCCGTCTTACAGACAGCGATATAGGGACAAACTAGACGAGGAACTACTCGGTGGATAAGCCTTCTACAAAGTCATTATTATTGTTTTATTATTTATTAACTTGCCCCAGGAGACAATAATCCGGAGCAAGCGACTTCCATGTACTTGTGTCACGGCGTTTTCACTGGTCAGTTTATTTTTAGAACGATTTTGACGCGAATTTAGAACATTCTAGTCCCACGAACCAGTCAGCACAACCTACGGCGCTGAAAAGGACGTTTTAGTTTTCCGTTTAGTTTTTCTTTCCCATATGTTATCTTTCAAATGTGCTCATAGATGGAACGGAGCTTCCATTTTTGCGGAGAAAAGTGCGCTAAAATGTATCTAAAATTAAACCAGCCCTTGAAAACGTCGTGACACAGGCCTAGTATGGGAGTTGCTCTCTCCGGGTGATGGGCTCCTGCTTGTCCAAAACACTTCCCCGCACGCTCCCATCAAAATTAAGTGAGGACCATCCACTACAGTTACTTACCAAAATTCACTTCACCAGAGTCTGGGACTTTTGGCGGCTTGTTAATGATTGTTGGCATAATAAGAACATCGTGGAATTTCAAAGCTTTGTCGTACTCTTCATACAATTTGCGTGCTAAGTTGATCGCCTTTCCATGAAATACCCCATGACTATCGTCATGTAAAAGTGCACCAAGTATCATGGTTAATTTCCCAACAGGACCCAGATCTTTCCCACGGGTTGTGAAACCACGACCAATGGCTGCTTGAAGACTGGTGTCGACAAAGCCCTTGGCTTCTGAATTAGACCCTTTAAGACCAAATAAATGGAGAAGAAAAGTGATGACGTCACAAAAACTAAATTTGTGAAATTATGAGATTGGTTGGTATATCCAGAAAGAACGCGGTGAAAAATGTTCACTTGCCAAAAATCAGCCTGTTCTGTGGCGCAAATTGGTTAGGATATATAACCTTTCTAGCTCTCTATAGTGTAAGACAGGAGATCAGTATTTCTGCCTGTTTTTTAGAGGCGCTTTTCAGCTGTATCAGAGTTAGTTGGGAAATCATGCAATGAACGAAGAAACCTAGCCCCAAAACAAAACAGCTGGATATATAGGCAAACCATATAAAATATCCACGGTTATAATCTGTGTAGTCCGTCCAATAAGCTGCATATTACACTCACCACTAAGTAGTCTATAACCCCCTTCCATGCAAAGCGCGTCACATACTCTAATCCCTGTCAACGAATCAAAAGAGCAGAATTCACACCAAGTGGTAAATCAAAGAACAATAAACGACCAAGCAACCCATGATAAAACGAAAAAAAAAACATAAAACAAAAAAACCGAAAAGTCACTCCCCTCTGCTTTTCCATTGTTATTAATGGCTTGGGATTGGTACAAGAATTAAAAGAGAGAGATAAAACTTTGTCTGTCAAGAAGAAGGTTGCATCCAGAAGTTCACATTGCCCAGAGCGAACAGCTTTCATTCGGCGTTTGTACAGAACAGTTTACAGTTTTATTTTCACGTTAAAATAGAAGAGGCCCATTTGTATGCGAATCTGTTGATGTAAAACCATAAAAATGTGAACAATATACAATTTCCTGGCTTGGCTTCCTTGCTGTCAAGTTTGTGGGACCCCCACGATAGCCTTAATATGCCGTAAAATTGAACTAAATGCGAACAGGTCGGTAAAAATGCGGTGATAAGCGGAGCGCACATGGGAGTTGAATTAACATTCCAAGGTATGCGCCCTTGTTATAGTATGTCACAGATGAATGCGCAATCCTTAGGGTGGATTTCCACTGTGGTGTAATTTTGACGCGCGCAAATAAAATAGACGCAATGTATGAAAGGTCACGTGTAAACGTAAAACTTGAACCTCGCTCAACCATTTACGCGCCTAAAATTTACGTGCGTACCCACGTATAAATTATGCGCCAGTGGAGATCCACCTTAATAAAAAGTCCAGCGGTCGTGTGGTCTTCGGGATATAATTAATATTGCTCGGTTTACATATCAAAGGCTACAGCCTACCATCAAAATGCATTGGTACTGACACCTGTCCAACAGTGGCACCCAGAGATGACAAACGATCAACGGCGTCTTTCACCGTTGTCATAATCTTCACGTCGGCATCCGGCATGTGGAATCCCTCCTTTAGCAGTCCGATACGCAGACCAGAAATGTTACCTGTGAGCTGTAGAGGTTTAAGGGGAGACAGAGAATTAGTTTGGCTTACATGTATGACAGTGAGGAAAAGCAAATCAAAAAGTGAGACTTTGAAGAGGATGAACTTGTTTGGTGAAAGTTGTGTTCTCTGGAGTGAAAAGTCCCCTTGCTATTTTGTGTCAAACAGCTTGGACGCTGGTGGAATGAGCTAGCCGAGGTTAGATTTCTTAACTCGTTTTGTTGACTAGCTCAGTGTTTCATTTAATAAGCATTGTTCAGCTGTCTAAAAATGTTCAAACCCTAGGAAGGGTGGGGAAACCTGAACTATTGTACTTACAGAGCTGGTGTACATGGCAGGGGTGCTGAGATCACGTGGTTGCCTTAGATCCAAGTCTCCATCCGATCCTGCAACCACCTTAATGAATCAAATCACAAAGCAAGCATTCAAATGTCTAAGGACTCTTGCTACACTTGCATATATGCTTTGACAAACAACTCTCAGTGCTAAGGGACCGTTCATTTTTTATGAGAGAGGGGGGGCTGGTGGGATTTGGGGGGGGGAGGCACTTGAAAAAAATTGGCTTGAAAGGGGGGGCCAGCCGAAAAAAAATGAAGGAAAGGGGGGGGGGGGTCGGACGAAAAAATTAGATTAAAAATAGGATAAGAGATGTTTACAAATGGAAGAAAAATTGTGCTCTTTTATTTATAACAAATATGCTAAAACAGTTCCAGGGTAACAAGAAAACTTCTCAACAGCTTTTATATTTTATTAGGACAGTGAACATACCATAATAACAGTCTTGAATAGCAACAACTTTCTTTTCATTCATAAAAATGTTGTTGTCAAGCTCATATAATTAAAACCAATAATTTGAGTCCTGAATTGGAACTGACCTCGTTACCAGAGCTTTTCTCTGAGAAATTTAATGGGAGGGGCATGAAACTACTACGAGTTGTCCCCTTCCTCATTTTCGACGTTCTCTTCGATCTCGTCGTCGCTGTGTTCCTCTTCTTCTTCCTCCTGTTCTTCTTCGTTGTCTTCCTCTTCTTCCTCTTCTTCGTCGTTTTCTTCTTCCTCTTTGTTCGTGTCTCCGACGTTTGAGCTATAATCTTCAGGATGCAGGAAGCAATACATCCTGTTTCTTACTTCTGGCTTAAGGTTGGTAATAAGCCTGCTTTGTGCCGCGTTGCTGAAGTAGCTTGATTGCAGTAGGTGAGCGATGAATGCTGCATCCCGTGTTAGCAACAATGCTGCCACATCTTCAACGTTTATGCACGCTTCCGGAATTGTCATGGAGGGAGGATAAAGAAGACAATTGGGAAGCTCTTTTGCAAGGGGATTTGCAACGCAGATATGATACACGCGTAGGACGTTGTTTTCAAACCGTTTGCGTTTTCTGCCCTTTGACTGATTGGCAACCAAGAGTCCAGTTGAAAAAGGCACATGCCAGTGGTAGCGTAGTTTTGTCTGACCCAGAGAGCGTAGCTAGATTTGGAGACAAATTCATTGTGAAACCAAAGTTTGTGGTTGACTATCTCCAGCATCTTGAGGTCATAGAGTTTAAAAAAAAAGAAGAGACTGGCGGAAAGGGCAAGGGAAAGTAGGGAGACAAGAGAAAAGTCCTATGATGATTATCATTGGGCTACTTTGTGCGAAGATGCCGCCAAGCTAAAAAAGCTCCGTGTGCCAGAATTGAACAAATACTTACAACATCATGGGCTATTAAAACAGCGCCAGAAGAGCAGCAAGAATGACAAAGTGAAGACAATTATGGGATACTTCCTGCAGATGAATACTCTCAGAACAGGTCAAGCCGAAGTGAGAGGCAGCAATGAATCAGGTCAACTAGACAGCAGTGGTGAAAGCAGTGAGGGAGAAGAAACTGATGATGATTACAAGAGTGATGCCCCTGACTCTGAAGACGACTCAAATGATGTCGTTCTTGCTTTTATCGCCTCAGACGAGGAATATGTAGACGAGCGGCCAGCTACAACACGCTCACGACGAGCAGTAACAAGAAGAGCTGAAATTGACTTTTCATTCTTTTGAGTGAGGATTTGTTAAAAACAGCTTTCTAGCTTTCAGCTTTCTTTCACTAAATTACGTGAAATGTAACAAAACGAAATTTTAATGCAGTAACTTTTTTAATACCTTATGTATTTTTTTATTCATGGGGGGGGGGGGCTTCCAAAAAATTACTCTGATGAGGGGGGGGGACACCATGCAAAAAAAATCGGAAATTGGGGGGAGGTCATACAATTTTCAAATTACACTCCTCCAAATCCCACCAGCGCCCCCTACCCCAGAAAAAATGAACGGTCCCTAAGGCATTGATTGGCTTGATGCGCTCTGTGAAGGCTGATAGCTCATTTTTCTGTGTGAACAATCTAAAGTAATATTTCTTTCTGTGTAATGTATGTCTGAAATTACTCAACTTCGTCCTGATAAAGTCGTGAAGTTGTCGTTGCCTCTAAAAAGCAATTTGAAAACAAAAACTAGGTAAAAGGCTTCTTGTAATTAAACACTAGAACACACACCTCTAACACAAGCATAAAAAAATTTTCTTACTAAGATATTTGCAAGAATGTTACTTGAGGGAAGTTTCTAGTTTACCTCTAAAAGTAAAGCCACATCTTTCACAGTTCTTGCCATCGGTCCTGTGTGATCCAAGCAAGTGTGCACTGGGATTATCCCTGTGTACGGCACTAGCCCATACGTTGGCTTCAATCCAACAATACCACAGGCAGCGGCAGGTATTCTTATTGAACCTCCTTGATCACCGCCCATAGCCACGTCCACTTTACCTCCAGCGACCTGTCAATAATACTGATTTTTATTCTAACATCAAAGATGGTACAGATAATTCCTCCACTTTTCAAAACACAACTTCCTTTTTTTCTAGAAGGACTTGAAGCTAGATCCCAAATTGGTCTCAAAAGCACCCTTAACAAAAATATATATTTTACTCACCTGGGACAAAACAGATGGGCTAAAAAATATATACTAACAATGACACTTACCAGTGCCGCACAACCAGATGAGGATCCAAATGCCATTCTTTTTTCATCATGAGGATTGACCACAGGACCTGTGAATGAAGTACAGCTGGTCGCAGTGAAACACCACTCCTCACACACTGCTTTACCGGTGATTGTCCCACCAGCATCCAATATCCTGGATACCACAGTTGCATCATGATCTGGGATGTAGCCTTCCAACAGATGTGACCCGCACATCATGGGTATTCCTGCTACAGAAATGGTGTCCTTCATGGCTATGGTCTTTCCAACAAGTTTTCCACTAGGTGCACCAACTATGTTACATCGCCAGTACCTACAGTGCAACAGTGACCTTTGTATCATGCAACTTAATTGTCAAGATATTTACATTAGCTCTAGAGACACATCACGGGAACACCAACAATTCACTTTGTGTCACACTATGCACAGGAATCCAAGGCAGTCTTGGATTCTGGCTTCCATACCATGGATTACGGATCCCAAGTGCTGAATTCTGGATTCTTTGTCACTGAAACAATCATTAGAGGGATTTTGGATTCCTTGATCTGTATTCCCAATTCCAAAGCCCAGGAATCCAGACTCCACAGCAAAAACTTACTGATTCAGCATTCCACAAGCAAAAATTTCCCAGATTCTGGAATCTGGATTGTCCCCTACATGGGGTGATTTATATGAAATGAGAATTTTTTAAAAAATTTTTTGTACCCCATACCCAATTTTTTTTTCATAACAACTCGCACAAACTCAAAGAGATCAGGTCTGCAGACATTTTTCAGATGATCTGCTTATATTCTACAAACATTCTGCAGAAGATCTGTTGATATAATCTCTAGACTATCTGCAGATCTGCTACAGATTTCCTGGCAGCTCTGCAGCAGGCTATAAACAGATTGGTTGGTTTTGCATGGGAAAACAATAGTAAAAATTGACTACAAAAACCCAACCTCGTCCCCAAGGCCTTTCCCTTGAAAAAATGGGTTTTTAAGGGAAAAGCCCTAGGGACGAGGTTGTACAAAAACCCCCAACTCACCATGCATTGTAAGGGTTTTCCTCTGGGGGTGGTCTGTACCCAGGTTCTCGAGGGTATTTAAGACAAGGCTTTGGATCTGGTAACTCACTGATTCGCTGATAAGTATCATTTAAAAAGCTGAATATGGCTTCTGAAAAGGTTTTGAAAATGGACACTTAATTAAACTTAGAGACAACAGGTTATGACCTGACATGAGTTTAAAGTGTTCATGAAACTCGTGCCTAAGGTGTGAGAGTTTGCAGGTACTTATACGGGGGGGGGGACTTCCTTATAACAGGCTAATTGGGATGTGCCGCTGGATGGGGTCACATTTTCATGACTGGATTGACTATTTGGGGTCACATTTTCAATACAGTTACAAGAATGGGGTCGCACATTGTCTGATTTTTGGGATAAGACAGTTCTTCATATTTACGGTTACCAAAAGTACCAGAATGTTTGCACTGTAGGTGAAAAGTAAAGTGTTCTTCATTCAATATTAGTCAATTCATTTTGGAACAACCTATTTAACCGATTGATATGGTAGACACAGAAAGAGAAAGTGACTAAGTCGGGATCCCGAAAATTACATATTTGCCCAAAGGTGACTAAGGTGAGGTCTATAATTGGCCACAGAGAATTGACTATAATGGGGTAGGCACTCTGAGAGGCCATTGGCACATACCCAGCAAAAATTAACCCAAGTACCCCCCCCCCCGGTACATATACAGCCGTTCACCTTGGTACATGCTGATATCTTCGTCTTTTATGTCAAATCCAAATTGATGAGATAGCATCCTTATTTTTTCTGTACTTGGGGGCTGTATGTGTGGTAAAGATTCCTAGGAGGGAAATGCAGTGATCAGAATTTGGTTTGTGGGAAAGACACCTCTTTTCTCTTAGAAGTTTGAATCTCAAAGCTCGAATCCTGACAAAATTTAAAGCTTATACCCTTCGCGATCTGGAAACACGTTACGTCAAAAAAGCAGGAGATCATCCGATCGAGTTCATGTTTTCTAGACCGAGATCGAGAATGAATAACCACTTATTATAAACATAATAGTAGCTTTCGCCTCCACAAATAAAACGCATTGCTGGTAGAGGGAGGGAGGGGCTGCCATCTAATCAGAGATGGAATACGAAACGGCATATTACAAAAGCCTACCTCGGTCGCACCTTCCTCCGCCATTTTGAAAATGTGGCAGTGAGGGGTCTGAAACCTTCCCACCTAGCACGGTGGGAAGGTGGTGTTGGGTGAGATAAGGGTATAAAGTGTATAAAAGTAAACGTTTTTTTAAGCAATGTTATCGAGCTAATGCCGTAAGATATTTTTTAAAGAATTTTTTATATATAATTTATTGGGGTTATCAGAACTTTTTAAAAACCCTGTTCCCCTGTATAAACTAGTATGAGGGCTACGCAAAGAGATTTTGATTAATATTAACTGGTTCATACAAGCTTTATTTTTCAATTTCAGTTTTTCGTTGCAGTTTAATACAAAGCTAGATACATAGTTTTACAGGCTATGTCAAAGCTTCTTTAATCAGTTTAATTCCAGACTTGATTGACTTGAACATTGACGGATTTGAAATTGTACTTCTAAGAATTTCAAGTTAACGAGAAATAATAGGATCCGGTCTGAAATTTCTTTAGTTATTTTGACTGTCTAAGAAATTCCTCACAGCATCTGTATATATGATCAAACATTTCTTCAAAGTCCGAACTATCTCCGTAATAAGGATCCTCAATTGTTCGTTGTCCTTTAGGATCGTACGTTCCAAACAGCTTCACTTTAGCTCTCGCAGTTCCATCAGTGGGCCTAAATTCCTTCAGATCCTCCACATTGCTATCATCAAAAGCCATTATAACATCGAAGTGGCGGAAATCATCTTCGTGTACCTGTCTGGCTCGGTGTGGATTCGCAATTCCATGTTTCTTCAACACTTTTAAGCCACGACTGTCCGATCGAAGTCCGTTATGGAGATCAAGTATTCCGGCGCTATCGATTTCCCAGTCAGCGCTGTTCCCTCTTTTTTCGAGAAGATGTTTTAGGATTGCTTCGGCGGAAGGTGAACGACATATATTTCCGAGGCAAACGAATAGGATTTTTCGATCTTTGCTATCCGCCATTTTGAATGGGAAAGGCATTACACTTAAGTAAAGCATACATGATGTTATATCAACCGCTGACCAGGATAAAATTTAAAAATTCAAGATGGCGGGTCAGGGTGCAGGGTTCAGTGAGTTATCCTCTTCATCAAATGGTTCAGACAATACGAAACGGCCAGGAATACCGAAAATAACACCATCAGACCTTGTTCATCCCGTCAATTTACAAAAAATCGCACAAAGGAAAGCTCAAATCAAGACATATCCTGTTAGAAGAAAGCTTGAAATTCTGGGCGTCTATTCATTTTGCCAGGTAAAAGTTACTTGACCTCATTTCATTGTGTATGCTCACTGGAGTGGAATGATGGAAGAATCCTTTATTTTCTTGTAAAGAACTTTTTTTCATGGCTGATGGTATTTAGGTTTCTTTGAATGTTGAAATCTTATTATGCCACTGTTCTCATTGTTTCCTGTGTGGTTACATTCCCCTTCCATGGTATTTTTTAGCTCTTTATTGTCAATTTTGAAGGTAGTAGGCATGAAATCTGTGAAGGTAAGACGCCACCACAAAGTTTTGCAGAATGACGGTGAATGTGTGGTTCCAGAAAATATCCATACCTCCCCCACGGAATACTCTTTGATTTGCATCCCCCCACCCCCCAGGATTTTATGTTCCAGGGGTCTTTGATGACCTCCCTCTCCCCAAGAATTTCCAGAATTTTTAAACGGGGACTTCTTACCTCCCTCTGAAATTCAAAGTAGTTTTAGTACTTTAAAAAAAGAAGTAAATACAAACTCAGTTACGAAAACACGGTAGAATTTTATCACAACAGTGTAATGGAAGTGTAAACTTTAGTTAAGCTTATTCTTCACCTAAACAGCTAAACTTTTAGCTTCTTCGCCATCAAGTTTGTCTGTGCGGTTTTTATGTAAGCGTATAAGCTTAAACATTTGAGTTGCAAAGTTTAAAACATCAACTCTTCTATGTTTTTGTGCTGACTCCGACGAGTATGTTATGAGGAGAACTACTGCTTAAGTTTGATTTGCTTAAACAACTTTGCAAACGATAGCAAAAAAAAAAAAAACAGAAACTTACAAGGTTCCTTTCTGGCCGTTTATTTGTCTACACATTTTGTCAGTTTCTTCAGGTTGATTCTTATTTCAGGACCAAAAACTTCACTATCACATGCCAAATGCGATTGGTTTTGCATTTTGTGAACATTGTGATGATTACAGAAGTAATTTTACTAGCAAGGTAGCCAGGCCTTGTGAAGGTCGAGCAAGAAATGGGAATGAAAGAACTCTCATCTCGTTGCATTTTTGTGAATTGTAGAATATTATATGTTACAAATCGTAAATAGTTAGACATAATTCCTGGGAAGACCACTTTTATTGCAATAACATTTCGTGTTTAAATTAAGTTGATAATGATGACAATGATGATGAGTTACTACCCCCATTATAAACACTGATAAAACATGAAACCTATCAAAAATGTGTTTCCTGCAAGTGAAGGTAGCGAAAAGTGATACTCAGTGAACTGAGGTGAAAGCACTAAAATGTTGGTTGGACGAAAATGAGACAAAGCTGGAAGTCTGGGGACAAGACTCCAGTTATGTCCCCTATTTTAAATTGCTTTGACTTCGTTCCAAAGACAAATCGTTCTTCTAGCGATTGTAGTGCTAGCTAACTCAAAGAAAAACAGAAACATTAAAGCTTATGATGTTAACCTCATCTCAATGGGCAGGAGTACTGACTTTTTTTTCAAAACAACGTATGTAAGTATGTTTTTGTGCTTCAGATTGATCGTAGGTTCGTCATTTCCCATGAACCCCCCTCCCCCTCGAAATTTCCAATGAACTTCCGTGGGGGAAATGAGGATGGGTGATGGATATTTTCTGGAACCACACACTTAAGTGGATGATGGAAGTGGATGAAAGTGAATGAGGGTGGATAAAAGTGGATGAAAGTGAATGAAGGTGGATAGGTGGATGAAGGTGAATGAAAATGGATGAAGATGACTGACATTGAATGAAGATGGATGAAGGTGGATGCTTGTGAATGAAAGTGAAACCTCGATATAATGAAGGGCCAAGGGCAGGGTTGTCAATAAGATTTCAAGTTACCAGGTAAATATCACAACTAGGTGGGGAATCAAACAGCTAAGGATTTCTTTTGGTTCTACAGTCGACTCTCTCTTAATAGACACCTCTATAAGACGGAC